GTTACAGTAGAGTACAGGTAAACACAAGAGATTAGATAAAATTGACATGAAGAAAAGTGCGACAGTTTGAAGAGATAATGTGGGTAGAGGTGTGTGTGCTGTTTATAATGAGAATGAGAAAAATTATAAAAATTCAGGAGTTGACAAGTACAATAACTGAAATGAAAAATTCACTACAGGGACACGACAGCAGATCTGAACAGGCAGAATAAAAAATCAGTGAACATGAAGTTAGGTCAGTTGAAGTTATCCTGTCTGAAAAACACAAAGAAATAAAAAACAACTCTCGATAAAATTAAAAAGATCAAAATCATACAAAGTATGTTCTCCAATCACAGTAGAATGAAATTAGGAAAAGTAGCAGAAGGAATGGTTATTGACAAGTGACAGAATATAAAGATGAATAAATTATGGTCCTTGCACACAAGGAACTCAAAACAACAAAAGTTGATTTTCAAATAAATAATTTTATTCCTGGGATAAATCCTATTGATTATTGTGTATAATCCTTTATATTATATGTTGCAGGATTTGGTTTGCTAGTATGTTGTTGATTTTTGCATCTATATTCGTAAGATATGGGTCTGTGGTTCTCTTGTGATGTCTTTGTCTGGTTTTGGTATCAGAGTAATTCTGGCTTCATAGAATGAGTTAGGAAGTATTCCTTTCTGCTGTGTTTTGGAAGAGTTTTTGGAGAATTGGTGTTAATTCTTTAAATGTATGATAGAATTCAGTGTTAAACCAGTGAAGTGTAGGCTTTTCTTTGTGTGAAGTTTTTACATTCCTCATTCATTGTCTTGTATTTGTTACGGGTCTTTTCAGATTTTCTGTTTCATCTTGAGTCAGTTGTGTAGTTTGTGTCCTTCCTGGAATTTTTCTGTTTCACTCAGTTGTCTAATTTGTTGGCATACACATAGCACACACACACCTCTACCCCACACTATCTCTTCAAACTGTTTCATTTTTTCATGTCAATTTTATCTAACGTCATGTGTTGGCATACAGTTGTTCATAATACTCCTTTATAATCCTTTTTATTTTTGTAAGGTTCGTAGTGATGTCCCCTCGTTCATTCTTCATTTTTAGTAATTTGAGTCTTCTTTCTTTTTCTTCGTTAGTCTAGCTAAAGGTTTGTCAGTCTTTTTGATCTTTTCCAAGATTTAATGGTTGTGTTGATTTTCTTTATTTTTCTGTTTCATTACCTTCTGCTTAACGTTAATTATTTCCTTCCTGCTGCTTATTTTAGGTTAGTTTGTGCTGTGTTTTCCAATGTCTTAAGGTGGAAGATTAGGTTATTGATGAGATCTTAATTCGTTTTAATATGTTTACAGCTAAAATTTCCTTCTAAGCACTGTTTTAATTTTATCCCGTACGTTTTGGTATGCTGTGTTTTCGTTTTCATTTATCCCAAAATATTTTCTAACATCTCTCATGATTTCTTCTTTGTCCCATTGTTTGCTTAGGTTAATTTCCCACATGTGGAAATTAAGTAACAAATTAGGTTGCTTAATTTCCACACAATGGTGAATATGTCATTTTTCCTTCTGCTACTTTTCCTAATTTCATTCTATTGTGATTGGAGAACAGACTTTGTATGATTTTGATCTTTTTAATTTTATTGAGAGTTGTTTTTTATTTCTTTGTGTTCTTCAGACAGGATAACTTCAACTGACCTAACTTCATGT